TTTGGATTTGTTTTCCAGCTGAGGGTGAGAGAGCATCCGGTCCACGGGCCTTATGTCGCCGAGCTCTCAGCGTAAGAAAATCTCGTCTTTCTCTCTTTATTCGCTGAAAGCTTGAACATTCTTGGATGGTACCTTTTTCAGAATTGCTCAGCTTGCTGTTTCTTCACAGGAATGTGGTGCGCTCTTACAATGATGTTCAGGTAAGATGAACCAGTTGTCTTTTTTATTAGTGGGTGCTTTCAAGAACAAGCTAGGTCTTCAGTGTCAAGCAGACAAAAAGCCTGTTAACCGAATCTGAAAGGCTTGTCATGGAAATGAATATCTTCAAGTGAGATTTCACACAGAGAATCGATAATAATTTAAAGTATTTTTTTCTTCTTCTTTAGGGCTGGCTGGAGCTCGGCAATAAGCAGAGAGCCACAGCGGCCACAGGAATGAATGACAAGAGCTCCAGATCTCACTCTGTCTTCACCTTGGTCATGACCCAGACTAAGGTACTGTCTTCACTGTGTATTTACCTCTTTTCCCTCTTTGAGTTTTTATGTAAAAAAAAAGAAAACACAGGGGGGAGCGGATGAATCGTGCTTACATTAAGTGCCTGTGAGTCCATTTGTGTTTGTGTGTGCAGACTGAGCTTGTGGAAGGAGAGGAACATGACCACAGTATCACCAGCAGGATCAACTTGATCGATCTGGCAGGCAGCGAACGCTGTCACTCTGCCCAGACCAGTGGAGACCGACTCAGGGTGAGCACATGTTAACTACCATCTGTGGTTAAGTCATTAAGCAATTAATCATTGCTTATTGGAGATTGGAGTTGGAGTTTTTTAGGTGAACCACGGTATATAATTTTATCATTCACAAATCAGAGTACAGTCTCTTGTCTCAGAAGGCTCTGGTTTCTTTGCATTGTTGGCCTGTTCATTAATTTTTTTATGCAAAATGGTGTCTTTACAGGAGGGCGCCAGCATCAACAAATCACTGCTAACGCTCGGAAAGGTCATCTCTGCCTTATCAGAACAAGCGCTGACCAAGAAGAAAGTCTTCATACCGTACAGAGACTCTGTCCTTACGTGGTGAGGGAACGGTGTGCTTGTGCACAATTTCTTTATTTGTATTTGTTTGTTTGTCAGCAATCGCAGTGACGGTTCTCCTCTAATTGTCACCTGCAGGCTGTTGAAGGAGAGCCTCGGCGGTAACTCTAAGACGGCCATGATCGCTACGCTGAGCCCGGCGGGCAGCAACGTGGAGGAGAGCCTGAGCACTCTACGCTATGCCCAGCAAGCCCGCACAATCATAAATGTGGCCAAGGTCAATGAGGACACCAATGCCAAGCTCATCAGAGGTCAGACATCCATAACGTGCTTAAAAATGTGTATACTGTAGACAAAAGGTATCTATTTATAAGCCTTATGTCTAAAGCAGGGTTTCAGGCACACTTACTGTGTTGGTTTGACATGTGACCCTGGACAAATCCTTGGTCACCTTATAAACTAAAAAAAAGC